GGCCAAAGTATATACTAATTGGGTACATGGACCCTTATTAGGATACACCTGACCCAACCAATCCTAGACCAGATCCGAAAGGATTCTTAGAATGTCCTCAGGGCTCTGCGCGGAGGAACCACTTCAGAGCCCATTGTGATTTTGTTTAGCTGCTTCTTCTGGCCTTCAGACTCGCTAATTTGTTTTAGGGGTTCCGGGGTGTAGGCCTTAAGGGTTTAGGGTTTATAGGGTCGAGCTGTAGGGCGTAAGGTTTAGTTTCGGGTTTTGGGCTTTGGGTTTAGAGTTCTCCTGAGCTATGACAGTGACACATACACAGCAAGATTAGCTATGGGGTCACTGGGACCAAGGTCCATAACCATGGAGTAGTGAGATTCTTTTACGCCGGATACGAGCATCTTACCGACAGGGTATTCTGCATTGTAGAACTCACCGAACTTGCCCATCTACTAGCTGAAAGTCTGAATGCAACTCCCATAAGAACCTTTGAGACTTCCCTTAAAGCCCGTATTGCTTGAAAACTTAGAAACCCTAGGACAACCCTAGCCTCTTAGCTCAAACCCTAAACCTGATGCCGCCAAAAACAAGCGCGAACTGACGATGGCCTTATTTCACTCCCGCTAAGTTCACCGAGGCTCCTGGCGGATTCAGCATGCTCTTTTATGTTGTGAAGTTCGGCACCATTTCAGAGGACCCTGCCCTACTACAACTTCGCCAACGGTTTAAGGTACAGAGTTTCGCAACCATGCGATGAGCAACCTAAACCTAGTTCCGGAAGACAGATGTCCTGAGCCCTAAACCACTCAACCCCAAGCCAAACGCGCTGAAATGGGAGTTTCAGACACTGTAGAACCTTGACAACAGACCCTGCATGGTGGGATCCTTGCTACAAGGAGTCTCAACAAGAACAGACCCTCCTACAACAGTGCAAAAGCCTTTTGCAGCCACCAGCCTGAATTATATGCCTATAGATAGTTAAATCCTCTGCAACAGCTATGCAATTCAAAACCCTAAACCTTAACCCCAAAGCCTAACCCTAAACCCCTAACCGCCTAAATCCGAACCCCATCTAACCCCTAAACCCCTGAACCCTGAACCCTTAAACCCTAGTAGTCGAGTAGGTACCCTTTAACCTTTTTTGGGTAGTATAGCCCCTATATAATCCCTATTAACCAAAAAAGGTTAACCGTTGCAAAAGAGTCGCTTGGAGGAGTCTTTGAGCCTCCTCATCTTCCTCACGAAGCCCGGGCCTCACTGAGCTCTCAGGTGTAGGGGATGGTTTAGGGTTTAGGGTTTAGGGTTTAGGGAGGGGTTTAGGGGTTGAGGGCTTTAGGGTTTATAAATAGGGGTTGAGGGTTTTAGGGTTTAGGTCTTCGATGTGTTGGGTGTTTGTCCCCACCGACGGAACAAATGCCGAAGTTGTGCTCGGCCTTTTGGCACTCTTTGGCCCAATAACAAACGCGGGATACTGCCAGGGGACGCTCACTGTGCGTTGCGGCGGACGTCGTTTTACTACGCCGGGTGCGGCAACTTGGCTCAAAAGCCAATTCGGCATGGCCGACGCTGCAGGAAACAAGGTATCGCTTACAAATCTGGATGCGGCAAATCTGACGGGGCCACAGATCGCCATCCTGGTATTGTACCTCCGTGGAGGCGGCACGTTTGGCACTGCTTCGTCTCTGCAACTCAACGGCAGATGATCAAGAACGGTCAGCCTGTCTGTCGATGGGACAAGACTTCATTCACCCCTCTTTTGGGAAGCCATGGCTATTTGTTTGCAAGGAAGCGGAATGAGTAACTAGGTTCTATAAGGGTTCTATGGTTTTAGAGTTTAGGGTAAGTAACTAGGTTGTATAAGGCTTCTACGAGCTTGTTCAACGATCTTTTGGGCTGTACAATGGTGTTGAGCCATTCTTGAAACATCAACGAGGTTTGGTAAGACGAGTAGAACTGGGGGTTTAGAGTTGGGGTTTCCCTAAACATAAACCGACTTGTAACTTTGCTCTCTAAATCACTAGTTCCCCTGAGCCTCTATGCAGGGTCTTCTTGAGTGTCCGGGGCCGTGCGCTTGGCGCAAACTTGGAATCACGGTTTACGTGGAGCGCTAAACCCCAAACCCCTAAACCCTAATAATACCTTTCGAAGCCCTACCGTAAGCTCCATGTACCTATATATATATATATATATATGTGGTATATACTTCTGCCTGAGATCACGTCTATAGGAATCTCTTTGGCCTGAGTATAAACTATATGGGTATAGTCGGTATACCGTATACTTAAGCCGGAAAGCACCTCTGTAGGAAGCCCTTCCAAGGACTATAAGTATAGAACACATGGGTAGAGTATATGCTTAAGCCTGCATGAAAGTACCTCTATGTAGGAACCCCTGTAAGGCCCAATAAGTTGGCCATAATGCAATGTGTGTTGCTGGAGCCTTAGGGCAGAAGCACCCTTGTGGGATTTGGTTTCGCAAGGCTCGAGGGATACATGTGGATTCAGGGTCTTGTGTTAGGGTTTGGGGTTTAGGTTTTACGGTTCTAGGGGTTAGGCTTGAGGGGTCGAGAGATGGTGAACTAGGTTCAAGGTAGTCCTTTGACAGGCTTCAGGGTTTTTCAGAGTCGTGAGTTTAAGCTTATGGGTCTGGGGCTTTTCAAGTTGTGGCTCGAGGTTGTAGGGGCTTCAGGTTTAGAGCTGAGGTGCCTCTTGCCCCAAGAATTCGAGCCCCTCTGCTTGCAGAAAGCCCCGACATACTCCGCAATTCCCACTGCACTGCATTAGATCAAAGGGTAAAAGGAGGGACCCCTAATAAGGACCCCCAGGTATATACCCATAATCTAACCATTATATACCCGTTATATAGCCCCATTATACCATTGAGGGTCCCTCCTTTCCCCCTTTTGATTAGAAGGTGTCCTCGACCGAATTCTGAGCGTAGGATTGCAAGACCCTGATGTGCTGCGCCTGACGCCGCCACCTCAAAGCCGCACATCTCCCCGAAACAGCCCAACCGTGATTGATCAACAGAGTAAGTAGCCTGGGGAAAAGGACCTGCAATCAGTCCCTAAACTCCCTAAACTGTATAATCCCTAAACCCTATAACCCCAAACCCTAAACTTCTTAAACTCTAGACCCTGAACCCTGAACCCTTAAAGCTTCATCCCAAGGCCTTCGGCCCAACCATTTTGAAGCTGTTTCTCCAGGTACGTCTTTGAAGCTTCGTGCTTGCTGAACCTCTACATCGTTGTCCGGGGGCCTAGAATGCCTAGAACCCCACGCCCTAAACCCGATAAGCCGTGGGCCCTAAATAGCCGCTAACTCCTAAAAGCAGCCTGCGGCCTTGAAGACCCATGCAACCAGATCTAAGTGCTTAAGCGTTGACGAAATTCTCGGGGTCTCACTTTCTTCATGGCGTTGAGGGTGTATGGTTTCGTGGTGGGGCTTAGTGATTGAGGGTCTGAAGTTCAGGGTTTAGGATTCATACGGTTGATGATATAAATCCTGCATTACCTTAAGAACCCTAAACTATGGGAATTATGGTATATTCCTTATTATGGTTAATGCAGGATTTATATCATCAACCGTAGGGCCCCTATGACAGCCTAAATCCTAAACCCTGAACAGGTTGCAGGGGTAATTCGAACTTCGGATGTGGGGCTAATATTTAAACTTCTACAAGGGTAATACCAAAAAGGAACTACTATGGAGCCTTTGGGTATAGCCCTAAGCGCAAAATCCGAATCCCAAAGCCCTAAACCCCAAAATCCCAAGACCCCAAAACCAGTTTAGTGTTCAGGGGTTTGGGGGTTTAGTGTTTAGGGGCTTAGGGTTGAGGGGTTCGGGGGTTAGGGCGTTCGGGGTTGAGAGCCTGGCGGCTTGAGATCAATAAAGCCGCGACCACACCCTAACCCCTAAACCCTATAAACCTTAAACCGTGCGATGTCTTGTGCTCAAATCCAGCTGCAGCGGTCCAGGTTCCGGAGTGCTATAGAACAGCTTACTGTAAGTTACCATAATTGAGGGTTCCTTTGAGGGCTCCTTTTAAAGGGGTCTATAAGGGCCACTATAAGGGCTATTATAAGGATTCTAATGTGGGGGCCTTTGTGGCCTAGTAGTAGAGTAGGTAACCTTTAACCTTTTTTGGGTAGTATAGTCCCTAATATAATATAACCATAAAGGTTAACCTTTAGTTCCCCATGTTACCCGACAAGTAGGAACCGGTGGTGCAATCAATATTCGGGATATTAGTTGTGTGATTAGGATGTAGGGTTTAGGAAAAATTCGCTCATGAAGGACGGACAGAGGATGTCAATAGTGCTTCACTCAGCTTGGACACATGTGTAGGCTTTAGTGGCAGAATCTACTTTATATAACCTGCCTTGCCCTAGAATCCGTAAAGCACTAGGCATGAGATCCGCCTATTTTACGTATAGACATGCAGTACCGTAAGCCAGAACCCTTCATAAACCCAAAACCCGAATAAATCACACAATGCCAAGGCCTAAACCCCTTAGCCCTAAACACACAGTCCTAACCCCCAAACCCCTAAACCCCTAAGCCGTCATGTTTGCTTGCGCCTCGCGATGGGGTGCGGGTCTGCTGGCGAAGACACCGCGGCCGCCGTAGCTTGATGGAATTCAACCTGCTAATAAAGGGGCCTGCGCAATTACCAAGACTATTTTGGTGGGTTCCTTATTGGAATATAGTATGTTTGGCACCAAAACCAATTCTTATGATTCAGGCCCCTATATTAGGCTGCTAAACCCGGATCCCCAAACCCCAAAACTCGAATACCTTGGGGGACCCTGAAGCTAGAGGTTGAACATAGGGGTTTAAAAAATTAGAACGGTTCCGCCACAAGGATGCTGGAAACGGGTTTCCTATTGGTTCCAGGATGAAGGCTTCAAGGTTCTTTGTTGTAAGGGGCCATGCGGGCCTTGGGACTGGGAAGCTTAGGGATTAGGGATTAGGATTTAGGGTTTAGGGGTTTAGGGTTTAGGGCAGGTACTATGCCGTGATTTTCACGAGCTACCGGACAGAGGTGCAGGCCGACTACAGTGACACTGCGAAGAGGACTGCTTCCTCGATGCTCTGGGATTTTGCCTTATATTAAGTCCCAGAAAGTTGGAAACCGGATTAAGGACAAGTAGTGCTGGCATTCCCTATACATTACTCTTAAGGACTTCTACCGTGGAGTATTGCGGGTTTGTGTTGCGGGGAAGTTGGAGCCGTGGGGCCTAGATGTTGTGTTTGAGTGTAGAGTTTAGGATTCGAGGAGTTACTGTACGATCTGAATGAAAGCTTAACGAGGTGACATTTGGGGAAACTCCGTATTCCCGTTTATGGTTCTGTTCCTATAGAGGTACCTACTCGGATATGAAATTTAAGGACAGCTAAACTACGACCACTTTGGGTTTGAGGAGTTCCCGCAAGCTCAACCCATGCATAGCGAGGTACCCAGAGACCCTGGGGCCTGAGGCTTTGGCATTAGAACCTCTACTATGAAAGGGCTTGGGCTTAAATTTACCTGGGCCCTAGATAGCCTACCTTTTTTTATGATAATTATGGGGAACTCATGATATGGAGCCCCTAAAAAGGTAGGTTCTTTAGGGTCCAGGTAGGGTTTCGCCCCTGAACCCTTACCCCTCTCTGAGCCCCAATTGTACAACAACACAAAGCTCACAAATCCTAAACAACCATCCTAAACCCTACGCCCCTAAACCCCTAAACCCTAAACCCTAAACCCTTAAACCCCTAAACCCTCGACCCTGAAGCTCTGAGGTTCTTTCCCCAAGGGTCCAAGTACCTAATAATCATATACTCTCCAAAATCCTAACCTACATAACTACTATCCTAAAACCGAGTACCTAACTAATAAGCCCCATATAATAGAACCCTTATAGTAGTCCGTTTAAAAGAACCTTCTAGAACCCTTTAGAGGAACCCTAATTATCAGGTGCTTTGGACCCTTGGGGTTTTCAGCCTTATAAGTCGAACTCTCAGTTTTGACGGCTTGGAGGCTCCTCGAAAGATCTTCTCCGCCGATGTCGATTGCTACAGGGTCCTTGATCCTTTAAGGGGTTCCTTTGAAGGCTTCCTGAAAAGGGATACTATAAGGGTTCTATAATAGGGTTCTGTAGTATAGGGTCGTCAGTAATTATCTATACTATTTTGGGAGCTTCCTTATTGTAGTTATAATGTAATGTTAGTAAGTAGTAAGGCTCTTTAAAGAGTTCCTTAAAAGGGATCTATAAGGGTTCCATAAGGGGGATTAGGGTTACTTAGAGGCCCAGGGGACTTAGTCAGTAGGTTGTAAGTAGGGTTATAAGTAATTACTGTAAACGGAGTTACCCCAATCATAACCCTACCTATAGGCGACTTACTAAGTCCCCTACACCTCCAAATAAAGTTGTTCATAGAAGAGCCTGACAATGAGGCGCCAAGGCGAAGCCTAAAACCCTTAATCTCAGACCCTCAACCCTGAACTCCCAGCCCAAAAAAAACCCAAAGCCCCCTAAACCGTTATGAAGCCCTAATCCCTTAAAGCCCTAGAACCCGAAACCCGGTGTCTCGCAAGAGGATGGTCGAACTTGCATCGCAACAGCCGGGATTTCTTGGTGTGGAGTCGGCAAGGGAAGAGGCCACTCCGATGCGTGATTTGGGAGTTTCCGAAAATTAGGGGTACCTTATTTGGAGCTCCTTATAATAACGATCCTACTATTTAGGGTGCTATATTAGGGTCCCCTATCTTCGGAAACTCCTATTAGTCTGCCCGTATGGGTGGGTTTAGTACTTTAGGGTGTGGGGTATTTAGGGTCTTCTTGATATCCCAGAGGGTCCAAAGTGGAATGAGGCCTCCAAAACCCAGTTTAATCATGTTTTCGGGAACGGGTTGGGTTGCCCAGGGCTCCTGTTTTTAGACGCAGATGGGCTATCGAGCTGACAGCTTGATTATGAGGCTTGCTGGGCAGTCGTTAGATACGGTTGATGATATAAATCCTGCATTACCTTAATGACCTTAAACCATGGGAATTATGGTATATTCCTTAGTGTGGATAATGCATGATTTATATCATCAGCCGCATTGGGGTTCTGCTGGATTCGCTCCGCAGTTGTCTGTTTGTTTTTTGCGGCCGAGTTGTGCAAAGAGTTCGCTCGATCTGAGGGGCTTGAAATCCGACCTATCGAGACTTAGAGGTGCAGTCACAAATGCGTGTTCGTTGTTGGAGCCTGTGGCTTACGAGCTTCGATATCCGGGAAAGCAAAAGTAAGCCTACAAATGAAAGTCTTCGTCAACTTCATCAACACCAAGTCCCTGGTTCAAATCCCCGCCGAATGTCAGCGACAGGCCGGCATCACGGTGAGCTACTGGGAAGCTTGGTGTGTGTTGAGGATGTTTTTTGCGAACCCTACCTACGAGTTTCTTAAAACAAAAAACCCTAAGCGAAAAACACATAAACCCCAAACCAACAGAAAACCCTATCTACTAAAATCGTATAATAGTCCTAAACCTATGAACCCTAGAGGCTCAGCCCAGGAGAGCCTGGAGTCCATCTCGGCGTGGAAGAGACAGGCGGAGCACGCTCTGGCCCAAGAACCTCGGCCCATGTGTGTGTATATATGTATATATATATATATATATATATATATGTGTATCTATATACTGTATACGTACATGAGTACGTGCATACGCACACGACACACACCTACATACATACATACATACATACATACCTACACTTTAACTAACTCGTGTATGTGCATATATATATACACATAGAGATGTATTTGTTGACGTGTCTATTTCTTATTAACCCGACATTTTGAATTGTTCTGGATGTGTCTAAAGTCCATGTACTCCACTTTGTAGTGTGTGTATATACATGTGTATATACGTGGATATGTACGTTGTTTTGGTTGTTTACGTTGTAGGTCATGTCATGTCATGTCATGTCATGTCAGTCCAGGTCAGGTCCGGTAAGGTCAGGTACGCAATGTACGTGCACACATATCCGTATGTTTGCACACATATGTATCTCTTTCACAAGGGGCTTTCTAGGATATTGAGGAGCCTCATGATTCAAGCTCGGCCCATATGACCTAACATAGAAACCTGAATGATTGGTACTCTCATGTACTACTATTCCATGGGGGTGTGCAATAACACTATGATAGTATACCGAATTTACTGGCCCAAAATCGAAACATGGGTCATGGTTTAAAGATGATTAATGCTTCGGTTCCTTGTGCCATACATCAAGACGTTGAGGATCATCAGGCTTCACCTTTTGGGCGTTTACTACTTTCTATAAAAGAAATCTTACTTCCCGCCAGGGTTTCTAAATATATGGCTGCATGTAGCAGTATAGCGTACAACCAAGCCCATTGTAATATTGGCTCCCGGCAGGTCCATATTTGGGATTGGGCTTCACGAAGGTTCTGAACAACGGCTCTATACTCCGGTATGTGTACATGTATATATTGCTATGTGTGTATATTTGTGTGTATACATGGAAATATACCTGTCTATTTATCTAATCTATCTAACTTAATATAATCCTATATAATCCTTATGGTCACTATTACAGGGTGGGGGCAGCTTAAAAACATATGCTCTCATGGCATCGGTTTTTCTGCATTTCTCAAGTTAAGCAGAGTTAAAACCTCGTTCCTGAAGCAAGCATACCGTCATCCTGTGGGTATGAAGCTTTGAAAGTGGAGAACTCCCAGCACCCCCCTTTTCGAACCCTTACAACCCCGTTTTTGAATCCCTTGTGAGAGCCCTTATTGAAGCTTAAAGCCCCAAACCCATCAGGAGAGAGGCAAGAAGGACTGGTACCATTGCTATGCCACCCGCATCGCCCGCGTGGAGCGCGACTACACGTTCCAGAAGACATCTGCGGACGACGAGGGAACCTGAGGAAGCTCAGCTAAGATTCTTGCAGCTTGGTTTGTGCCACAAGTATTGATACTAAGATTATTGCGTATTGAAATTTGGAGTGTGATTCTTAGCTGTTACAGCCATCCATGGTGTGTCCATCTGGCAGAGATTCGGGACAGCCTCAACTGACCGGAGCCGGCAGCAGCGCAGTCATGATCATCTGACCCTATGCTTCCAAGGACCTTATAGTTTGGGCCCTAGGCCCCTTAAGGACTCAATCATAAGGTCCCTGGAAGCATAGGGTGAATTTCACATGAAACATATCTGGCTGCTGGACTTAGCTGCGCATGGAGCCTGGAGCTTGGTTAATCTGGTTCGAATGTAGGGGCCTTAATAATTGGAATCAGGTTTTTGAGGGTTCCTCATTATGATTATGTATAGTAAAATCTCCCCAAGCCCTATTCTAATTATTGAGGCCCCTTTTGCAAGATCCATGTTGATATAGAATCGCTTGTGGCGGAAGATGGCGGAAGCGACCGTCCTTGAAGACGGTCTCCCGCCGCACCTGCCACGGCAAGTCCGAATCTGGCTCTTGTGCTGGAAAGACCCTCAGCAGAGTCTCGCACTAAGTGCGGATTCAACGATCGATTCGCAGTCGAAACAGCGAAGGAATTTCGGAAAGGAGCGGATTACAGGGACGGCATGCAAGGATTACATCCCTGCCGCAGTGTCAAACTTCCTACAAGTCGTTCGACAGTTGAAATCGAAATCAAGCATGGCATCGCATACGCATCTGGTCTATGTATGCAATCATGCATACATGCGTGTACACATGTATCCACATGTGCATGCCTGCATGCATGCAGAGACGAGTTGGAGGGTGTCCTCTCTTCTATCTCTCTCTTCTCTCTCTCTCTCTCTCTCTCTATCTCTCTCTCTCTCTCTCTCCACTGCCGTCCATCTAGCTATCTACGTGTCTCTCCATCTGTAGATGCACAGTTGCATGCATGCGTTGCAGTCGGCTGGGCCAGGAAAGAACACTCCATGCATGCATGCAAAGTTGTCTCTCTGCCATAGAGCTTTCTGATCCCGAATACATGCATCTTGCAGGATTCAAAGCCATGCTGAAGTTTTGTCTAAACCCTAAACCCTATCACAGAGCGTTTGGTTCGAATCCCAGAGGATGCTCGGATGCAGAAATGAGGATCTTTGGGTCGTTGTTGTGGACGCGCTTGTCTGACCCTGGACATGGCGTCCTGAAGGATTTCACCGTACGGCATAATAACTTAATACCCATCATAAGGACTAAATAAGGCCTATTCAAGGAAGTATAGTCCTACACCCCTAAGGGTCCGTATGATTACGGGTCCAAGCAGCTTATTATAACTACTTGCGCCCATATCTCCTGACCAAGAATCTGACCAAGAATTCAGAATTGCTAAAGCTGCTAGACCCTAAACCCTAAACCCTAAACCCCCAAACCCTAAACCCTAAACCCCTAAACCCCCAACCCCTAAACCCCTAAAAACCCCTAAACCCTAAAACCCTAAACCCCTAAACCCTAAACCCCTAAACCCCTAAACCCTAAACCCTAAACCCCTAAACCCTAAACCCCTAAACCCTAAACCCTAAACCCCTAAACCCCTAAACCCTAAACCCCTAAACCCCTAAACCCCTAAACCCCCTAAACCCCTAAACCCTAAACCCCTAAACCCCTAAACCCTAAACCCTAAAACCCTAAACCCCCTAAACCCCTAAACCCCTAAACCCTAAACCCCTAAACCCCTAAACCCTAAGCCCCTAAACCCTAAACCCCTAAACCCTAAACCCCTAAACCCCTAAACCCTAAACCCCTAAACCCTAAACCCTAAACCCCAAACCCCTAAACCCCTAAACCCCTAAACCCTAAACCCCTCAACCCTAAACCCTAAACCCTAAACCCCTAAACCCATGTACCTTCCAGACCCTTGGGCTCCATGTACCCGGTTTAGGGTTTAGGTTTTAGGGTTTAGGGTTTAGGGTTTAGGGTTTAGGGTTCAGCTGCTCCGGATCGAGCAGTTTTAAAGTAGAGTTGTATTTACGGTTTAGAAATAACACCCACCCACCCTTAGAATCCCATAACATAAGCCATATAAAGTCTTTCATCATCACTCAGAGAGTCGTATCTACAACCTAGCCTGTCACACTTCAATGTCGCCTTCCCACGCCACTAGGAAAATACAACAGTTCATATTGCTCCCACAGCTGGTTTAATTATTTAAGGTTGTCGAGCTTAGACTTATTTTAGATTCCTCCACCTGCACTTATGAATGGATGTATAAACCTACTGTTTCGCTTCTTGCGGCATTAGGAAGAAAACCTCTTGTAGAATTGTTTCGCTTATTGGGGCGTTCGGAATGGAAATCTCTTGCAGAATTGTTTCGCTTATTGGGGCGTTTGGAAGGCAAACCTCTTGTGGAATTGTTTCGCTTATTGGGGCGTTCGGAATGGAAATCTCTTGTAGAATTGTTTCGCTTATTGGGACGTTTGGAAGGCAAACCTCTTGCAGAATTGTTTCGCTTATTGGGGCGTTCGGAATGGAAATCTCTTGCAGAATTGTTTCCAAACCCTAAGCCCTAAATCCTAAAGCCCAAACCCTAGGCCCTAAACCCTAAAGCCCAAACCCTAGGCCCTAAACCCTAAAGCCCAAACCCTGGGCCCTAAACCTTAAAGCCCAAACCCTAGGCCCTAAACCTTAAAGCCCAAACCCTAGGCCCTAAACCCTAAAGCCCAGACCCTAGGCCCTAAACCCTAAAGCCGAAAAATTGACCTTAAACGACTAAGGGTTTGACCTTAAACGACTAAGGGTTTGACCTTAAACGACTAAGGGTTTGACCTTAAACGACTAAGGGTTTGACCTTAAACGACTAAGGGTTTGACCTTAAACGACTAAGGGTTTGACCTTAAACGACTAAGGGTTTGACCTTAAACGACTAAGCCTTAGTCGTTTAAGGTCAAACCCTTAGTCGTTTAAGGTCAAACTCTTAGTCGTTTAAGGTCAAAAATCCGGGGTTTGACCTTAAACGACTAAGGTTTGACCTTAAACGACTAAGGGTTTGACCTTAAACGACTAAGGGTTGACCTTAAACGACTAAGGTATTAACATTTAAATTACTATATGAAAGAGAGGTTTAGGGTTTAGGGTTTAGGGTTTAGTTTTTAGGGTTTAGGGTTTAGGGTTTAGGGTTTAGTTTTTAGGGTTTAGGGTTTAGGGGTTTAGGGTTTAGGGCCCATATACCTATAGTCTCCATTGTAGTTCCCTTTTTTTGGGGTTAACCAGTTTTATGGTTAGGATCCTATAATAGAGATTTTGGTTAACTAAAAAAAGGAACTACAGAGGAGACCATAGGTAGTATATACTTAGGCCTTAAGGTACCTAGAACTATAGGACCCCTTTGAGGCTTAAGTATCTACTGTACAGGTACATGGAGCCTTTGGGAAAGTGTCCATGGACCTACATGGTATACACTGTGACCTCAAGGGCTCCTTGCATAGGTACTTTATGGGGGTCGATGTATGTGCTATTTGGGCACATAGACCCTCAGGGATACTACATGGGTACGGTCTCGATCCCAATTACCGAATTACTGAGTATTCGGCGAGGTCTACCCTTGCTCCGACGTCTTGAAGGGCTCTGACGCTTGCAGTTGAGGGCCGTTCAGGGCTTAGGTTTGGAGTCGAGAGTTACGGGTTTATGAATCCTGAGCCCTATCAACTTCTCATAAGTGCAGCTAAGCCCTAAACCCAAAACCCCTAAGCCCTAAACCATAAACCTTAAGCCTAAGGTCACCCACCCTAAACCCGAAACCCATAACCCTCAAACCTAAGGTCACCCATGCACCTTCCGAGCTGTTGCTGCACCCGAGCGCTGCGACAGCCTGGGTTCAGTCCCAAGCGGCCACCCGTCAAGATGGATCGGGTCTTGGGTCTTTGAGGCTGCTAGTTTCCATAGTATCCTTAGGAATTATGTTAAATTTGTTCATATAAAGCCCAAGAAATAATTTAGAATATTATTTGTATTATGGTTCTAGGGGGGCTATAGGAATAGGTAATCTATAACCTTGTGGGTTATCTGGTCCTAGCAACATTGAGAAGGTTAGCCTTGTTGGGCTAGGGTACTCAGCCCCTAAGGGTGTTGCAGTTGAGTCAGTTTAGGGTTTTGGGGTTTAGGGCTTTTTGTGGTTGAGGCAGTTTAGGGTTTTTGGGGTTTAGGGTTTTGGGTTTAAGGTTTAGGGTTTTTGTGGTTGAGGCAGTTTAGGGTTTTTGGGTCTAGGGTTTTGGGTTTAAGGTTTAGGGCTTTTTGTGGTTGAGGCAGTTTAGGGTTTTGGGGTTTAGGGTTTTGGGTTTAGGGTTTAGGGCTTTTTGCAGTTGAGGCAGTGTAGGGTTTTGGGGTTTAGGGTTTTGGGTTTCAGGTTTAGGGCTTTTGTGGTTGAGGCAGTTTAGGGTTTTGGGGTTTAGGGTTTTGGGTTTCAGGTTTAGGGCTTTTTGCAGTTGAGGCAGTTTAGGGTTTTGGGGTTTAGGGTTTTGGGTTTAAGGTTTAGGGCTTTTTGCAGTTGAGGCAGTTTAGGGTTTTGGGGTTTAGGGTTTTGGGTTTCAGGTTCAGCTGCTCCGGATCGAGCAGTTTTAAAGTAGAGTTGTATTTAAGGTTTAGAAATAACACCCACCCACCCTTAGAATCCCATAACATAAGCCATATAAAGTCCTTCATCATCATTCAGAGAGTTGTACCTATAACCTAGCCTGTCACACTTTAATGTCGCCTTCCCACACCACTCAGAAAATACAACAGTTCATATTGTTCCCACAGCTGATTTAATTATTTAAAGTTGTCGAGCTTAGATTCATTTTAGATTACACTTATGAATGGATTTGTTAACTTATTGTTTTGCTTATTGCGGCATTAGGAAAAAAAACCTCTTATAGAATTGTTTCGCTTATTGGGGCGTTCGGAATGGAAATCTCTTGCAGAATTGTTTCGCTTAATGGGGCGTTAGAAAGCA